ATGAAGAGCTTGAGAGCCGTGGTGATTTGAAGTTGGAGCGAGTCAGTGAAATGATGTTCTTGGGACTTCGGATAACTTTGACTTCTGAAGGGGTATGTATGGATCAACACAAGTGGCTGAGTCAAGAGCTCAATCGGCGAGGATTTCTGCACTTGAATGGCTGTGATGCCCTACCTTCCTTGGACAATGCGCCGACTCAACCAGCTGAGAAGAATGCAAACTACCACAAGGCATTGAAGGAAGTGCAATCCGATATCGGATCACTCATGTGGATATCTCTTAGGACGCGCCCCGATGTTCAGGCATGCACCTCAATGCTAGCTTGTTTGTCCACTGTTGATCCGGAGTATGTTCTGAAGTGCCTGAAGAAGGTTTGGAGGTATTTGCGAGGAACCTTCTGGCTTCGCTTGAAGTACACAGGAAGCCGTGAAAGGACCATCACAACGGCATCTGACGCAAGCTTCGCTCCACAAGGATCCCGATCAAGAACCGGAATCACATTGTTTGTGGGCGAAGATCTGATTTCTTGGAGATCAGTGAGACAAGGGCTGGTAGCATGGTCAACCATGGAATGTGAAACGGATGCGGCTGCATCAGGGCTACAAGAAGCTTTCAGGCTCAAGACGATCATTGAAGAGTTGGAGGGGGCACAGTATGAGATCGGGATGCTAGCCGATAACCTCAGCTGTGTAACCCTGCTGAACAAGCCTACATGGAACCAACTCGGTTGGCGCACACGGCATTTTGCCATCAGAGCGTCATGGATCCGAGACCAGCTCCGTGATGAAAGAGTGACTGTTCAACACTACGCGGGTCGAGAGCTTGTTGCTGATGCGTTAACAAAGGTGTTGCAGAGAACGCGTCTCAGGGAGATGAGACAACGAATGCAGTTGACATGATTTTGTGAAAATCCTGGAGGCTAGAAGCTGCATAGGTCAAGCCGTGGTGCAGGAACTGGCAAAGGGATAAAGTTCATCCGAATAATTTACATTAGACTTTTGGAGGCTTCGCCGAAGGAATAGTCCAGCGGGCCTTGCATGAGCGCTTTTGAGGGTGCCGGTTACCATGCATCACCCGTGGCAACCGCCAAGGAGGAGTGTTGCTTGTGACATGCGTCGGCCCCTGCGCAAGGTGACACGCACAAGCTTCGAAGAGAGCTTGGCTTAACCATAAACTATGCCACTGACTGTGGCTCAAGATGCAACAAATTCTCTGAGCGGATCATGGGGGTTGGGGTTATTCCGGGTTTGGGATTGGGGTCCCTTCCTGGTATCCTCGTCCTTCCTCTTCCTGATAACCGAGACCCGAGCCCGTCTTCAGGGTTTCAGGGCGGGATTAGTTCGTTCAGGGATTCAGGGCTAGGAGGTGAGTGAGGATTGAGGTGAAAGGCATCTCCGATGGCGGGGGATTTTAATGATGTTCCTCGATGTCTCCCTTCTCCGACTCCAACTCACTTCAGCAGAATATCAGACGGAAGCCCTAACCAAGAGCGCACACCTGCGGTTCCTGGCAGGTTTTATCTTCCACACGGGGCTTCGGTTTCAGCTCGACGAGGCATGAAGAGAAGAAGGCCCGACGCTGGTTTCCGCTTCCAATCTTGGCTCAAGGCCTACATCTCTTCGACTCCGAGCGTCTCGAGCGCAGCCGGACTGTGCCCCGGAGTGTGGATCCTCACTTGCGAAGGAGCACCTCTCGTCCGCGTCCCTTCGGGCTGTGTGAGCCATTGCCAGGCCCAACTCAAAGCCCGTGACACTACATCGACCTGCCAAAGGAGGGCAGTGCAAGAACCTTAGCTCGGACCCTTTTGCCGACTGTGAGGTTTGCTTCCGCACCCTTGTTGCCTTCAACGTGATCCCTGAACCGCACCTCCCCGAGTGCTTATTCACTGGGCGTGGGACGGCGAGATCTACCATTGGCAAGAAGGTCGACTTCCTGAACTTCGGGTGATGGATGGGCAGAACGATATCTGCCGTATCTGCTGTGAAGGTGGGGGGGGCCTGTCAACCTGGCTTCCGAAAGAATCGAGGAGATGAGGAAGGGGATGACCCAAAGCGGGGGAAGTGCTGCGATGGAGATGGATGCCGAGTGAGAGAGCCATGTAAAGAGTTGCACTTGTTCGGCGACAATTCTTTAAGCATGGCCGGGGGAACAACTCCTCTCGATCCTTCTCGCGCAAGCTCATTCAACCAGAGGCCCAACCTGGCCTGCAATCTTAGTTTCTTTTCAAAACACCGTCTTGAGACAGCTGTTGATACATAAGTTCGGGGAGAAACAGAACGCTTTAACTCGACTTTCAATCCGTCCTTGAAAACTCTAGTGGTACCTGCTTACAAACAGCGGGGTGACGATGCAAGCTGTTCCTTCTACCCCAGCACGGACCTGTGCTGTAGTGAGTAAGGGGGATGCTTGGTGTTGCTTGTTCCATGAGCATGTTGCAATTTTCAATGTCGTTGATTGGTTGCTTGTGTGTTGAGCGACCTCTCTTGCTTGCTTGCTCAGCGTGTGGGCCCAGGGGCCAAAGACCCCGGAACCCTGCGCAATGCGCTACGCTGTGTGTCCAAGTCTGGTGTGGTGGTGAGACCTGGGGTGGAGCAGTGGAGCTGGACCGGTTTACCGGTGTGACTTAGTAGTAGCCCCTAACGGTGTGTCCCTCTAAGAAAAATCCCGCCTTGTCCAACTCGTCTGCTCCGGCCCCCACTCGTTTTGTTCTACTGGCCCGCCGTGCCTTCTCTTTGCGGCTCGCCACTCGCACTGGGACCCTGTAGTACGATGCGACTCAGCCCTAACATGAAACAGTGCAGGTATCGGAGGCTGGAGTTCAACTCATGGGTCCCCTGTTACGGTTGTGTTCTTACTGTACCTTTCCCTACGGCTTTGTGGATGTGTGCTGCTTGGTTGCGGTCAGGTCCCGTATGGGAAAGCAAGGGAGAGGCCAGGTTTCCTAAGTGCGATAGGGGGGGAACACTCACAACACATGGGCTCCTGACCGCTGCGTTTTATGGGCTATGGTTCCGGCGGGTCCCTTCTTTCCTGGGAGGAAGCAGCAAGGGAGGGCCAGGGTTCTCAAAACAGATAGGGGTATAACACACTGGGGTCCCCGCCAATTTTGTGGTGGTGCTGGTGTTGGTTCTCTGTAGCCCTCTACTGACACATGTGCCACGTTCGTTCTTGTCCCCAGCTGGCCCCCTTAAACAGTGGCATGTCCCCTGCTTCAGTTGAGTTCTTAGTCGCTGTCGAACATGGCATGCATGCGTCTTCTGCGGTGTGTCCCGCCTAGCACTTGAACACGCCCTGTGTTCCTGTCAGCTGCTCTCGGGCTCTCACTACCCTCCCTCGTCGGTGTCCCTGATCGTGTAGTCGGAAGGTTCGGCGAGTGGTGGCTGCGACGCCCTTCATCTTCTGTTTCGGTCCCGGGGATCTCATCCGTGGGCCCTGCGGGCGGGCCCCCGCTGGGCTTCGAGGTCGTCGTCCACGAGGGCTACAGGGTGTCCCCAAAGTGCGCGCGTCCAGCCTTGAAGCAGCTGAAGTGCTTCGGTGCCGAGGGCAATTTGCTCCCCTATCAACGTCGGCATCAGCTGCTGCAGCAGGCTTTGTGCTCGTACTATTGCGTACGGTGTTGCTTCGGCTGCTGGGCTGTGGTGTGGGCTGTGCTGTGTGGCTGCCCTGCTGTCCTGCACCGTTCTTAGCTTTTTGGTCGGGGGTTCCCCGTCGGTGCTCGCTGCCGGCGTGTGCTGCGCGTCGGTGTGGCTGTCCGGCTCGGGTGCTGTCGCTGCCGCCTCGTCGTGCCGCTCTGCTCGGATGCTTGCCTCTGCAAGCAGTGCTGCTTGCATCATCGCCTCCTGTGTCTCATTGCTTGGCGGGTCCCATATAGGCTGTGCTGGCAGTTGTCTGTCTTTGGTGGGTGGTGGTGTGGTAGAGGCGCTCCCGCTTCTGCGCGCGGGGTTGTTGTGGTAGCTGCCGGGTGCGTGCCCGGGCGCCCTCCTTGCGGGAGGAGTGTGTCCCGAAGTTGGTGTATGTTGCAGTAAGCCGGCGCTGGGTCAGTGCTGCTGCTTGCTGGGCTGGCCGCCCCTCAGGTGGCTGTGTGTTAGCTGGGGGTTTCGTAACCTGGCCCCATGGTGGTGGCTGTGGCTGTTGCATAAATGCGGCTGGGTCCCCTTCTCTCGTGCTGGCGTTGTGGGCACGGTGGCTCGTTCGTGGGGCCCGCTTCTGTCAGAGTTCGGTGTGGTCTGGTTCGGTGTCGTCGTTGTGGCTGCCGTCTGTGCTGCTGACGCTGCCGTCGCTGCTGGGCCAGCTGTGTTCTGACTCGTCTCCTGAGTCTGTCGGTGGTAGCGGGGGTCTGGCCTTTGGTCGGGTCCCCTCTGTCGGGTATGCCTGAGGCGTTTGGCGCCATGGAGGAGGTGAGCCCCCATTGCTGGAGTGGGACGCGGGTGGAGTCCCCTAAGGGTGTGGCTTGCATTGCCGTCCCCTCTGGAAGGAAGACGTCGTGCCCTGCCGCGTTTGTGGGCTCGTAGAGTATCTGTGGGTAAATGCCGCGGGCTAAGTAAGGTCTGGTGCCCGAGCGCGGGGACGCTAGTATGACCCTCAGGTCCCACCTGCCAAGCGACCTCTGTCTCTCTCTCTCTCTCTCTCTCTCTCTCACTCTCTCTTCTTCTGCTGGGCGTGGGAGGCGTGCGAGGCCCCCCGGCCGCATGGGCCCCCCATGTGTTATGGGGCTTTTGGAAAGGGCGTGAAAGTGACAACGAGTCCCCCTGATGAGAGATACGAATAGATTTCAAGTGTTACGGTCAGGGTTCTTCAGTTGTATCAGACACATGCACAGCTTCGAACTTGCACGACACTGCATGTCCCCCTGAGTATCAGAAACAGCGAACAAAAACAAAACGAGTAGACCACTTGAGGGGACATGCGTTTTTATACCCTACAAGGTTGGAGGACGTACGACCTCTTGAATTACTCTCTCTCTCTGCCTCTCTGTCTCTCTCTCGCGAGCCGCCGCGAGCCTCGAAGCGGCCCCTGCGCTTGAAGTCGGTGCCCACGGTCGCGCGTGCCTCGTCGTCGAAGAGCGGGATGTTCATCGCACCTGTGGTGCGGCCAGCGATTCACGGCGATGCTCGGTGTCTCAGGATTCTTTTCCCTGTTCGCCTGGGACGTGCCCGACAGCGAACTCGCCGGGTGACCGCACGTCCACCAAGACCAGCCGAGGCCTGTCGAAGCACGCAAAGGGATTGCAAGAGTTGAAACCCCGCCGTAGACTTCAAACTTCGTGGGACTCTGAGGCGGTCGCGAGGGCTCGGCCAGGTCGCCGGCGGCGCCTTGCCTCGGAGGACCATCTGCCGCATCCAAAAACTCCTCCACGTCCAACGACGCGACGCCTCTCATGCAGCGGCGCTTCGCATCGCTCGGCACGCCTACGCCCCGCCCCTCCATAGCCCAAGCCTGAAGGTGCTGAAATCGCCGGAAAATCCATTCCATCGGCTCAGCGAGTGTGGGCGAAAAGTGCAGCCCTTGTGAGATGTAACTCAACTCACCTGGTCTGTTCAAGGATGCTCTACCTTGGCAAAACGGGTCATGATCTGGAAACCACCCTGCTGGAAGCCGGAAGAGACCGAGCTTTTTTGTGCTCAGGGCCAGAGAGGGCATGTGCTTTGCAGCCCGGCCTTGCCCCCTCCTTGCACGCCCGGCGGGCCGCGGCCCAGCTTCTTGCCGAAAGTCTTCAAGCAAATGGCGATATGCCTCTCACCCGCCTGAAAAGCGCAAGCAAAAGCACGGGCGAGGATCGGCTAAGAGGGCCCAGGGGTGCCTCTTTGTTGAAGGTCCTGCCACAGTGGGGGCCTCTGGGCACGGGCAGCCACTCGCCCGCTGTGAAAAGTGCAGATCGATTCTTTGCCCAGCGGCATCTCACCATGTCCGATTCCATCACGTTTCCTCCCGAGGCCAAGTTGGCCGCGTTGATCTCCTTCTGCAGCTCCGCAGCCTCGCGGCCCCGCCATGCCCCGCCCTGCCCTGCCAGGCTCCGCCTGCCTTTTTGGCGGCTTCCGGATCCGAAGAACCCTGAAGTGCGACATCCGTGGACTCGCACTTCAGATTTCAGGCGGATCTCGCCTTTGCTGCAAGGATGGCCTGGCGGAAAGCCAGCGACCTTAAGAGCACTGCCATCCAAAGATCACAGTTCCGAGGAGTCTGACGTTGTCTGATTTTGCCTGGCCACTGCGCCTTCCACTTCGGGACGGACTTGTCCTGTCCAGCTGTGCTGCAGCTCTGCATCCCATTGAATGCATCAGGTGCATCAGCCAACCGTTCTGCAACCACTGGCCTTTTTGGCTGGCTTGTCCGGCACCTCCTTCGGAGCGTCCTTTTGTCGCTCTATCCTCGCAGCGGCCACGTCCAAGCAACATTGGCCGCGCTGTCAAAGTAGGTGAGGCTCATGCTTGGACGCATTTGCGATGAGCTCGCTGGCATTCTCGAACTCACCTAAGCGGTTGGCAGCACCTTGGGATGCACAGGATCCAAGCAGCAGCCAAACATCCGCTTCCACCCTCCCTCCCTTCCCCCTGTTCTCAGGGACTGTTGAACTGCTTGCGCTTCTGCTGAAAGACCTGCACAAGACAGAACTCGCAACATCTTCGTGCAGTGGGATTGCACAGTCAACGCGCCTTCTTGCAGATTTGCTTATGCCGCTCTAGACCTGCCGGCAAGAGTGCTCTGCAAAGTCAGAATCCGGCCTTTCCTGTTGGTGCCGGACTGTCTGCTTTGAAGCTGCGGCCACAGTCGGGACAGGGTATTAGAGGCCTTGGCAAACCGGAGCGAACCCGTTGCTCTCGGCAAGTTCGGCCACATGCTCAGGCGAGCTCCGGCCGTCATCATCGCTACCGTCCAAGAGGCCCTCAATAGACTTCGGCGTCGACCTACCTGTCACGATGAGCTTGGACAGCTTGGCTTGGAGGCTCAGCTCGCAGGGTCCAAAGCACTCGCACTTTCCGCCTGAGTTTAAGCCTGGCTTTGCGGGCACCCGTGCCTGCCGAGATGGGATCCCTCACCAGTGCGCAAGCGCGAGACCCTGCCATGTTGCCTGTGATGGCGTCAGCGTGGGCTGTGACGCTGTCAGCGGCGTGGGGTAGCCGTCCTCCGCCAGCCTCCAGAGACTCCAGTGCAACACGCGCCCGGGCGCCCGTTCTCGCAGATGCTTCTCTTGTGGCCTCCGGCCTTCTGGTGGTGTCAGGCTTCGCCTCAGGCTTGAGCCGCGGGCTCGCTGGCCGCGGACTCCCTGGCCGTGGGCTCGGGCTTGCCGCCGCGGTCGGTGCGGATGGTGGGTCCTCAGTCCCGCAGTCCATCTCAGTCCCAAACCCAGGTGCAATGGAAACAGTGTCCTATCGCACCATCGAACACGAGCTGTTTTGATAGCTCGCATGTCGCCTTCTACAGTACATCTTCTCGCGGGCTCTGCCGTAGCTCTAGCTCTAGCCTTCGTGCCCCTTCAAGTCGGCCGGATGCCACCATCGCTGAGAGGACGGAGCGCTCGTTCCCAGGTCAGCGCTCATCGAAGAGCTTTAGATCAGCGGGTTCTGCTATGTCCTTCTTGGCCCTCACCGACGGGGCCGTGCTCTTGCAAAGGGAGAGACGAATCCCTGGCAGTCGGTGCTTTTTGCCCGAGGGTCCATGTCACAGCAAGAACAAGCCCAGGCCTTCTCCATGTCTGGCCGTTTGCCTTTTCCTTTGCCTTTATCGCTTTCCTGAGTGAACCATCGAAGCTGAAGCTCGTGCTTACGACGTATCGGAGAGATGCCTCCTGCGCCGGCTTGTCTCCAAGCCTGGAGCTCTGCAATGTTCAGCCATGTAGTGATGCAGTGAGACTGAGGATGCCACCACAACATTCTTGCCCGGTCTTGTGCCTGTTTTTGCTTCTCTTTCTCGCCCTTATACAGGTTCTGGAGCTGCTAGAGCGGATGAGGCATCCATGGGTGAGACCCGGGCGGCAGTCCACGTGTTCAGAAACGGGCCCGGCTGCACCTCTGCCCACAACAGCAGAATGAAGGAGGGAGCACTGCCAAAGGCTCAGAGGCAGCGGCCAGAGCACGGCCTCGGCTTGCACCGGGCCTTCGAGAAGGAAGAGCGAGAAAGGAGTCTGAGTCTGAGGCCTTGCCGACTTTCGAGGGGCCTCTCGTTCTCACCTGTTGCACTTTTCCGAGGTGCTGGGAAACGAGGGAAGCGCTCTCAAGAGCCCGACGCCCGCCGGCCTTCTGGCTCACGCTCCGCAGGGGCACAGCCCTCCGGTCCGAAAGGCTTGGACCTGAGCTGTCATTCGCCTGAGGTGCCCGGCCCGGCTTTCTGCCGTGCCGTGCTTTGGCTCCAAGCTGAGCCTTGTACGGCTTCTGCGGGCCGAAGACCTCCAAGAGACGACGAGCTGACTGGCATTGACTAGCTGACTAGCTCTATGCAGATTCCACAGGTGACTCGTCACCTGCGGCTTCGCTTCCGAATCGGAGTCGGAGCGCAGGCCCTGCAATCGCGATTCAAAGCTGCATGCAACAGACACACCTGCATGCTTTCCTTCCTTCCTTCTTTGCTTCCTTGCTTGCTTCCTTCCGTTGCTTGTCTCCGTGTCGAGTCCCTGCCTCTGGAGTTTTGGAGTCCAGGCTGGAAGAGCTCTTGGAAGGCGACCTGACGCATGATCTTCCCACAGGAAGCGGAGTTTTGACCGCAACTGGCGAGAGCTTCGAGCTGAGCTTCGGGCGGCGTGCTGGCGCGCTTGCGCTGCTTGCGCTTCCGGCTGGGGCTGCCTCAAAGGCTCCGGGCCCCGCATCAGCATCGGGTGAATCGGGCGACTTGTTTTAGTACGGCCTTTGGTTTCTACTTTGCTGCATGGGATGACTTGTTTTCCCACCAAGCAAGCGGGCTTCTCTGGACAGCTCTGGTGTTGCTGCCATGTCAGCCATGGACATGTCTAGAATCTAGAAAGAAAGGCATCAGCACAAACAAGCTGACACAACCCAAAACGGGTGCAGAGGAGAGGATGCAGAACAACAGTACGTGCCTCAGAACCTTAGCAGCTGTGGCTTCTGGGATCGCTGCGCTTCCTGCTGCGGCTGCTACTGCGGCTGCGGCTGCGCTCCGGCCTGCCAAGTGGTCCAAATGTCCACGGGATTCTACATGCGGACGATACGAGAAAAAGACTTGTTCGGCCCATCGCGCTCCGTTTCAGCTGGCACTTTCAACGAGACAGGCTCTCGTTCTCAGGGGCTGTCATCTTTAGACTCGTTACCCGTTACATCCGTTGCATGCGCATCTCGTCTGTGACATCGACAATGCTGTCAAATCGCCGCGAAAATAGCCACGGCATGCAGCAACAGTCTGGGTCAAGCTCTGTCCAGCTCATGTTGAAGGCTACTTGAAAGAGTGCTCAAGGAGACCGCAAAAGTGTCTATGTACGGCAAGCTCTGCGGGAAAAGTCGCAGTCGACAGAAAACTTCTTTTTTGCAGACAGCAGTTCTCTCAGAGTCTAGAGAATCTAGAGTCTAGAGTCTAGATGATGATGAAGTTGAGCTTGGTGAGGACGGCCAGCCCAACCACGGTCAAGGCGAAGTAGAGCAAGAGGATAGGCTCTAGAAGGCCGAGGGCCCTTCCGGAGCTCCATCTCAGAGTAGCCTGGGCCAAAGCCTCCCTGGAAGAGTTCCGCAGCTGCACGAACGGGACATCCTCCTCCTCTTTTGCCGAGGAGAGTGCTGCTTCGGCCTTGCTGCGAAGCATCGCCCGCTGTCGGGTGACCTCCGTGTTGGCGAAGTGCGCCTGGAACAGTGTGTGGACGGTGGGCGAGACGACCACGAGCGCAACGGTCAGGGGTATCACCGGGTCCAGGACGGGCTCAAGGAAGGGCAGCGAAGAGGGTAAGGAGGGCACGGCAAGAGAGGATCGCAAGGAGGGAGGCAAGGGCAGGAATGCAAAGTAGGGTAGAGCGATGAACAGAAAGGCCAGGAACAGCAAACCTTCCGTCATGGACACGATAACCTCCACGGGCTTATGCAAAATCTGCCACCGTACATCGGAAAGCTCCAAGGCAAAGTCACTGCAACGGACGACCTCCTCGCAGTAGACGATGGCCTGCTCTAAAGGCACCTCCCGGACACCGGTGGCCCAGGGTGGCTGGTGCTCGCGCATGAAGCGTAGGGCCGCGCTCCGCTGCCGCAGGGAGAGGCTGGCGACGTGCAGCAAGCTGGAGATGTCGTAAAGACGCTCAAAGCAAAACCAGATGAGCAAGACTTCAGCTGCTATGGCCATAAGCCTGTCCACGGAATAGGGGAGGCCGTAAGCCTGCACGAGCTCTAAGGGCGAACTGGCACCGTAGAAACCTCTGAAACTGCCCGAGAAGGTCCAGCGAAGGTGCATCAAGAACAGCACAGACAAGAAGCAGCTGACCATGCTGAGCACAGAATGCTCGAGCAATGCTGCATGATTCACGTGCATGATACCTGCATTTATCAGCTGCTGTTGAAATCTGTCGCTGAAACTTCCGCCCATCTCCGACCCTGAGTGCGGAGATGCTCCATCTGCTTGTTCGTGCCTATCTTTGGGTGACTCGGCCTCCCTGGATTCCGGCTCAGTGCCGCTGTCTGGCTTCTCAATCCTCTCAACTTTTTCCCTGTCAGATGTCTCGCGCCGCCGCAGCAGGCGTCGCTGCTTTTTGGTCTTGTTGGGCGCGGCGGTGCTGCGGGTGGTGCACTGCGCCCTGGCCCAGCGTGGGCCGTGCTGCACGCCGAAAACGGCAGTGACGGCCACTGCTGCATCCATCTCTTGCCACGGCCCCGGCATGAGCTCAGCGTCGTCTGTCTTCTCAGGCATGGGCGTCATGGGCGTCGGGATGCTTGCAGCAACACATGAGGCCATCCGCGCATAGCACACATACAGTAGGTTTAAGAGGAAGGCATCACCATATCGCCCTGCGTAGCAAATCAGCCAAGCTTCCAACGCGAATAAGCACAAGGCCCTGAAGATCACCTCGATTGTCCCCACATTCTTCGCTCTGAATGCACAGATATCCCGTACTTTAAGTCGGCATTCCTCGTCATCGTCAGTGAGGTACTCTTCATCAAACGCGTCCTGCGCAAGGGCGGAGGTTCCCCCTCACGGGTTCCACAAAACATGGTTTCCATACACACTTCGCTTGACAAACCTCAAACCGGCACAATGTGAGCGACCTGCAAGCGATGCTGCGCCTACAGCAGGAGCTGCTCAAGCCAGAACGATTAGATCAACTGTCGCTGTGCAGGCACCTCCATACTTCCCCCCACTGCTCCCACACCGGAAGTTGATCCAGCCTTCACTAGGCAGAGAATCGTTTCATCCGAATCTTTTCGGAAGGAGAGGAAGATTACTCCCTGGTTGGAGCAGACTGTGATCCTGACGAGCCACATCCGCAAGCAATTGCGGAAAGTTTCGTGGCACATGCCGAATTCGGCAGAAGACGAGAAGCTCGTGAGACCCCACTGGAACCGAAGACAGCAAGTAGTGTTCTCACCAGGACACGGGACACAATGCATTAATTCGCTTCAAAACAGTCGCACAGGACCTGATCATGTACAGTCCGGATCTCTCCATCACGACAGCTTTACAAACTGAATGCAAAAAACGTGGAGCGCGTTGTTAGTGTGCTAATATGCTACATGCTTCTACCACAGTTTTCAGAGCCCAGTGTACTCCACATTACAGTTGAAGAAACGGCCAGCCAAAGCAAAAGCATGTAAGTGTGCCGGCCTTGCTTTCACCGAAAGAAACCGGTGGAAACCATGAACCCTGGGCGCCTTCTGGTGGTCTGATGTATTCTGCATATGTGCTTACAGCAATGGCATCATGGCATCTCGCATGTTGACAATCGGTTGCTTGTCTTTTGTTTCCTTTCACTTGGTTCAAGACACCATAGCTCTTTCTGCGTAGTAGTGAAAACAGCCGACTATCCGTGCAAGGGCAAGTCATCACGTCCTTCGGGGCTCACTGTGCACCGTTCACCTTATGTGCCTCTTGCTCAGCTTGTGCGCGGGATGCCTGACGGTTTCCATCCGAACATGGCCATGACCGTCCCAAGAATCAGGATTAGTTCGACGGTCTGGCCCATCAGATTCACCAGAAAGTGACTGACTTTCGTCTTCACTAGAGACGTCGTTAAACATGTCCTCCAGGACTTTCCTCTTCGCTCGAGACGTCCCTGAACATTCTCTCCAGGAAATTCTGCATCTCGTCGTACTGACGTTGCAACTTGCGTGCCATTCACGATGATGTGTACTCTAGAAAGAGTATTCCGGTGAGATTTAAGCCTTTCCGCTATGGACCCTGCAGCTTGCTCCGTTGATCTTCTTACGGCAACAAACTGAAAGAGTATCTCCTTGAATTCCTGGAAAGAAAGTTGACCATCATATTATCTTGGACTTGGCATCCTCTATGGAGAGTCTCATGAGGACGGAGCTCTTCCCGTTTTCGCGAGCTGTACTCCTCCTCTGCTGACGAGTCTCAGAGAGGACCTTTGGGTCTCGAGCTCATGGATGCGTTGGGTGTCGTTTCTCATGTGATCTTGGTGCATCCCAGCGACCCGATTGGCGAGAGCCAGGGTGCTCACCTGAGCTCGGTAAAGCTTGTGCTTTCGCACTGATGCGTTGATTTCTCAGGTTTTGACCGCCTCTCCTTGTCTGCTTGGGAGCAAAAGTCGAGTTAGCTCCAAAGGAAGCTGGCGGATTCCTGGAAGGATGCTCCTTCGCAGGCGATGCCTTGTTCTGCGGGGCAATCGGCAACTTAGGCATGGCTGCCTTTGTCATCGCACTAGCGAGTGCTGCCTGTCCCTGTGCAGCGGCACTTGCCTTGCGGCAAGGAGGAATATGTGACGCCCAGGGCTTCTTCTGCCATTTGCTGATTCAAGGCTGCATTGAATAGCTCCCGCATGTGGCCAGTACTGCCAGCTCTCTCGATCTCGCTCCTTCGAGCGATTTTTTGCCTCGGTGCACCTTGAACGGGTGTCCTCCCTAGTGAAGGGATCGTTTCTCCTATTTTTCAGCAATCTCCACAGTGTGCGCACATGTCTTACACAAACTCATGGTGAAGACGTCACACGCCAACGAGACATGCTTCTCCATGGCATCCAGCCGGGTCAATAGCGCAGCACCCGTCGCAGCACATCTGTCAGAGAGCACGGTCAGTGGCGATCACACAGCTCATCCTGGCAAGCCGGAGGCTCATAATCTGGGCTCAAGATGTTTTCTTCCGGAGTCCCCGTTTCAGGACAGTAGCGACTGTCGTGTCCTGTGCGACTGCGGAGGACCAAGCGAAGCCCATTGGCCAGACCACGTGTGTCGGGCGCAGCCCGGTGGAGGTATCCAAACTATCACAGTCAATGAAGAACTCCCGGATGTGCTGCCTGGTGAAGCCCTTCGCCAACAATTCGGTGACTTGCGCCGCAGGCTGTCCAAACCACGGCTGCAGAGATTCCGGGACCTTGGGTGTGTCGAAAATGTGGATGCATCCCGCTTTAACAACAGCACAGGCTGTTCAGGTCGAGCTTCCAGCTCCAGACTAGCTGGGTTGGGCAAGCGACGAGGCATTGGTGGTCTGGTTGCAAGGTCTGACGAGGCCGACCCATTCCAGATCTTCCGCTGTTTGCCACCTGTTTTGCGAAAACCCCGGCAACTCCTTTGACATGCCGGCGCAAGCGGAGCTGACCACACATCAGCTCGCGAACTGTCAACTTGAGCAGTACTTGTAGCTGACTTGGTGCTTGCAGTAGCCTCAACACAAGCAGCAGCAGGAAATACAAACTGGGGTCCGTGACGCTGGCGCACAAAGATGTGCTCATAGACTGACAAGGATCAGAAGTGGCTGCTGTTTCAGGCAAGTCAACATCCGCTCCACGAATGTTTTCGTACCCAGGCGCACCGATCCTGTCTGCCTCCGGAAAAGCACCCGCCAAGGCAAGGACTGCCCAAACATTTTGACCCTGTCTCCAAACAGTTAAGGCTCCCGACGCACAGGTTAGTGAAGCCAAAGCAGTCCGATATCCGCACAGTTCCGGAGCCGATGCTTGCAGGCCAAGATTTGATGGCCGGCCGGCAAAGGGAGCAGATTGCGCTGCCGGCTTTTGCAACAGTCGGTGGCACTAGCCCAAGCTCTCAGGTCTGCAATGGCTAAACCCGGTAATTGCACGAGAGTTTTCACGGCAACGCAGAAATCATGAGAAGCGCTGGTTAACTCGTCAAACTCAGCACGCTTTTCTTGCTTCTGTCTTGCCTGAGCGTCGTCATCCTGAGCTTTGCAACACAACAATGCAGCAATTGCCCCTGTCAGGGCAAACCTCGCTGCTCGCCAAAGATTGCGCCTTCTCGTCTAACTGGTGAGCTCTGGATTCTTTGATGCATGCCTTTCATCAGTAGCTGCCGACTCGTACCGTATCCAATCCCGAATAGGGGGGCTGGCGATGAACCGAGCAATTACTCAGGAAAGCTGTTCACAAACCCACCAACGCGGGCAAGAATGCTGATTTAAACACATGCGATCCTGGGCTCATCTACCTCATAAAGTGCTTGGGTTCTGGAGCCAGGAATGGCCGACACGCATGACATGTTTCCAGCTGCGCACCTCCTTGGCGCTCAACTGCATGTCTCGCCGATGTGACATGCATTCTCCGCACGTTCGCGGTAGAAATACTAACAACATTTGCTTGTTGTAAAGTTTCTGCACTTGTTCCTCAGAACGCGGATGGTTTCCTTTGTCAGCCACGGCTGTAATCTTTACTCCCAGCGGAGAATGCCAGGCTTCGTCTGTGGGACCAAGCCACAGAGCCAGACTCGTGAGAGTTGTGCAGTAGTCGCTCCAGGGGAAGGCAGCGCGCGTCATATCCTAATTACCGCCGAGCATATGGACAGGGGCAGCGCATGAGGAGACTCAGTCAGCAAGTACTGCATCATGATGTTGTCAGGTGCTGAGCCCGTGTCCGTCGACCCGTGTCCGTCGACGCCGCAGCACCCGCAGCCCGATCGACACGCAACGTTTGTGGAGCGCGCGCCTGCCACCGAAATAGCTTCCCTTGCCCTGACCTTTCGCTGGGTACACGACCCGCTGTAGTTGTCGAGCCGCTGGTGATCTTGGCAGGGTTTCCGGCTTGATCTGCGCTGCGATGAGGGTCAACATTGCGCATGCCATCACTGCCACCTGCCTCGCATCAACGCGTGAGTGTACTACATGGGCATGGCCGGTGAGTCTTCAAAGCCTTGTGGGGTCCAAACGATTGATCACACCTGTGGCATGGAACCACATCCGTAGAAAGATCTGCTTCAGCCGGCGCCGTGAATGCAGATAGTTTGGCAAACAATTCACCAGCACGTTTAACATGTGCAGCTACTTCCAGCGTGCAGCTGACTGCTGACTGTTAGTTTGTCTTGCAGTGTACAGAGGAAGGAGACGGGGTCACGCACTCGGAGTTTCGCGAACAGCTTAGTGGTTGGTGCACGGGCAATGAAATTGGAGAACTCGCCGTGGCTTTGAGTTGTTTGATGACTGCGACGTGGACGAGGTAGTCGCCATGCCCTGTGACACCTGTACAGTAGCATGCAGACCGTAAACAACCACTGGCATCAAACAAGCCTTCCACACGCGTAGTGGTGATTTCAGCGTAAGACTGCTCTTGCCATCTTAAATTGGGCATGCCGCGCTCGAACCTTTCGCATGTTGCTGTTGCATCTTCGTAGTTCCGATACGAGATGTAAATAATGAGGTACTTCGTCTCATGTCGGATGGGAACGTCTGTGAGTTTACGCGGCGAAGTCAACGTGATCGGAATCTTGATTGCCTTTCCACGCCTTGAGGAGACCCAGGGATCTCCAGAGGTAGACATACTGGTCTCCCTTGATGAAGAACGGTCGCATCTTCTTCTGGAAGTACTCGACTCCATCTTTGGCGACACGCCTTTTACGATCCAGTGCGTCTTTTTGTACGGCCGCTATACCGGAGAGCATCGTCTTGAGAGACAGTCCTCTCCTCGCTTCTCTTCGTCCAATGTGGTAATGCCGCACCAGTCGTCGATGAGCTGCTCATGTTCGAACCACGAAGTGGTGCCATCGTAAACGAGTGCTATTTCCAAAGAAATACCGAGATGGCTGAGTCAGTCGACACATATGACTGAGCGGCATATGACGCTGGCCCTAAAGAAGGCTCGTCCTCGGGAATCCTCCGGAGGAGTTGTTCTGCCGTCATCCCCACGGTTGGATGAACGACGACCTCGGCCCGCCTATAGAAGCGATTGGCCGGAGCCAACCGCAGAGGCGCTACTAGGCGAGGGGGCGAACCCAACACGGGCTCCGCTATCAGACAACTGCCGACGGGGAACCCCCTTCAGACGAAGGATCTGCGTACAATGACGCCCGAAGGACCTAATGACTTGCCCTTGCACGGACAAAGAGTTGTTGTCTTGAACCACCCGAGAGGAAATAGGCAACGGTATACACGAGGATGCCACCATGCCATTGCTGCAAGTACCTTTGCAGAATGCATCAGACCGCCAGAAGGCATTCTGGATTCATGGTTTCACCCCTTTCCCCCCGCCCCCACCGAAGCTGTCACATTCTACACTGTGCATTGGCGCGATTCTCCCATATCAAAGCGCGCTCCTTCTCGGGCGGGATGCGCACACAAAGCAGGAGCCAGGAAGCATACGCCCCCAAAACAGCTTGAAAGAAGCTGTCCAAACTGTCCCAAGCCGAGATCGGTCGGGAGATCTGCTGGCCCTTCATGAATCGATAGGGCAGCTGCTTCTTCTGACGACACGGATCGAAGTCTGGATCTGCCAGTCGCACAGGACTGAAGGCTCCTGGAAGCATTTCGGCCATGGAGATGGGAACTTCAAACCATCCAAAGACTCGAAGTCGGAAGGAGACATAGACCAGCAAACTGAACAGCAGAAGGATTAGGGCCAGCAGTATGGCACCCAAGGAATAATTTCTTGCAAAGGAATCGAAGCCTTGGGCTGACAGCAGCAACTCCATCTCTCGTCGCACTGAAGCATTTTGACTGCTGTGAGCATTGGCGCTCATAATCTTTATCTGATAGTAAGTGATCCAGTCGTGTGGGATGTCCCCCAGGGTCGCTTGCTCCTCCGGTGTCGGGTGAAGAGCTCTCGGCACCAGGTTTCGGAGGGTGTCGAGGCCGTCGGACAGGTTTTGGGGATCCCAGTAGCGGTTCAGCTTCGGCAGCTTTTCGGCTTCTGCTTGTAGGCGCCTCCGCAGCCGTGCTAAGCCCAAAGCCAATTCGGAGTCCGGGGCCTCGAAGAGTGCGCCGGCCAGTGCGAGACCGGAAACGGCTGCGGTCCCAGCGGTGCCTCCGCTCACCGCCAGCTCAAGCGGCGTCACGGCTTTGCCACTCGGAAGGCAGAGCAGGCTCAGGAGGCTCAGGCCAGCCCCGGGCTTTGTGCCGAGGAAGCGTACGGCGTCCACGTCACCTGCCTGCATTGCCCGCTGCATCTCGGGATGCCTCGGCGTGCTTCGGGGCTCCAGGGCAGTTGCGGAGATTCCCGACATGCTGATCACAACACACGTGCGGGCCGGTTCAAGCCGATGCTCCCCTAAAACTGACACAGCGTGTGTACATGCGCAGTGGAGCCGAGTGGAGCCGAGTTTCTCCGTGAGGCAGGAAGAGTCCGAGGTATTTCGGTCTACCGACTCTGGGCTCGTCGGGGAGAGGATCTCTGCCTCGCACTGATACTGGAAGCGAAAGAGAGAGATTCGCAACGGCTGGCGCTCTCAGTCGGGCCTCAGTCTCGATGGCTGGCCGGAAGGATACAGCTACATTCAGAGTCAGGCCAATCAAAGCTGCAGTCGCTCTCCATCGCATGTGTAGACTCGAAGCACAGCGGGGCAGGCCCCAGTGTGCATTGGGACAGAAGACACTCAGCCAAAATGGCTGCTGAGAGAAGACGAGTAGAGAGTAGAGCGCTGGAGGCGGGGCGGCGAGGCCTGCCCGACCGCCGCTTGGGGTCCAACTTCTTGCTCTTCTCCTAGCGGCGGCTAGCGCGGCTGCGACTGTGAAAGTCGCTGAGTCTCGAGGAGTCCTCTGCCTTCGCCTTCTTCGGCTTTGGCTCCTTTGACACTTCGCACATCGGTGCCATCGGTGTGCGCTTCGCCTCTGCTCATGCCGCCGCTCCGCCTTCGCGGGTGCCTCTTTTTGGGGAGCTTTCTTGGCCTAGCTTCGAGTTGACGGGCCGTGCCGTGCGGCGCCGTACCGATCCGTGATCCGTGGCTGAGGCTGCCACTTCCTGCGCCTGCTTTCGGCCTCAGAGAGCGAACTTCGACAGCCTTGAAAACTCACTTTCGTGGCTCCGGTCCGGGCTGAGCAGCTCCTCGTCGTCCTGCCGTTTCAGCCGTTTTGGAACGTCCCAAGCCCCGCCGCAGACTTTCTCGCAGCCCTCAGCGGTCCAGCAGCTCCCAGTCATCTGCATCCTCGGGCTCCCAGCGGGCTCCCAGGCTCTCGCTAAGCCCATGCGCAAAAAAAAAAAAGGTCCCTCCCCTTGCCTTTTTGGATTCCTGGGCGATTTTCTTGGGCTTCTCTTTAAAAAGCCTCGGAGCTGAACTACTGAAGGTGGATCGACTGGAGCTCGTAAGATGTGGGCCCCTTCTTCCGAGGCTTTGCTTCTGGGACCTCCTTGGGCGCCTCTTCCTCAACGGCCCAAGGCCACAACGTCTACCAGCAACTTGATGCCCCAGCTCAAAGCAGACCTCTGCACGGCGCCCAACGAACTCCCAGGCCTTCTTGGGGAGCTCTTCCACCTGTGCCTTGAAACACCGTCAACTCGCTGAACGAGCCCTAGTGCGAGCCGAGCGAAGGAGCCTTCTTCCTGCTTTTCTCGTGGATCTTCTGCTTTTCCCTCTTACCTTTCTTTGGTGGCGACTGGGGCCTGCTTGCAAAGACGGGCACCTGCCTTGCTCCAACGGAGTCTATGCGATCTAAGCTGCAGGCGACGCAGAAGAACTCCGCTTCCGGACCATGGCCACGGGGGGAGTAAACACTGGCAGACTAGTTCTTTAGACTGGGAATCAAGAGGAATTCATGCGTGATCTGCAACACCCGGCTTGGTCCAGAAGAGCAAGCATAGAGTGGGCTCAAGGCAGAGAGTCTAGATTGGCAACCCGCCAGGCTCCAGACCCATGTGACACCTCTTGGAGCAGACTTTTCGGCCTGGGCTCTTGCGTGGTTTGCCTTCGGCATTGCAACGATAGCGACGCGGTCAGCCGAGCGGCCGGAGTACGCCCTGAAGGTGGTCGCCTCTTCACGAAAGGCACGGCCGGCTAAAAGGAGCACAGCTGCGGCAACCCTCGGCGTGCCCCAAGCGCGGATCCGCCATAACTTCGATTGATGCCTTTCCAACCATGCAAGTACCCTGCGCTCTTCCTCTGCTGAAGCAGGGCCCGCCTGTTGCCGACGCTGCCGCATCTTGGACTTGAGCAGCACCTTTGCATCGAACTCTGCCATCCCTTGCGTAAAGTTGCAGGTTGCCCAACTTAGATGCTTATTTGCTCGGGCCCCAGGCAAAAGTTGATAGACTTGAAGCATGAGGTTGTTTCGTGTTTCTTTGTGCTGCCATTCCGTCTACAAGTTCCCACTCCATCCCAGTGCGGAGCAAACAGAAGGTTGTGAAACCCCTGAGGAGATACGTTTTAGAGGAACCCCGTGGCCATGACCGTTTTACTGCCAAGGTATGATTGAAGTTTGACCTGTTACAGCTCACACACAAATAACTACCGGTAAGTCAACCATGAGCGGACTGTTTATTCTCGGGACTTGAGCCCACATGTAGTCGCGTAAAGAGGATATCAAAAGCAGACATGGAGGCAGGGTAAAATCTACACGCGCCTCGCCGTGCTGCTCAAGCTATAAGGCGGATGTTCTCTATTTGGCTCCAGGCTGCTCTGGACTATCAGCAAAGATGGTTTGTGCCGAAGCTAGCATATATAAATGCACGACATAGGGAAGCCCTGCAAGCGCAAAGCTGTACGCAACAAGAACCAAAGGCAGACCAATAATCAATACCGGTGCGAGCGGTTTCAGGCATCCCACTCGGCTTGCGAATATTCGACTGCGGAACCACTCGTCAGTCACTCGTCCCATCGGGCCAGCGTGTACCTGCGATAGAAGGGCTCGGCTCCTGGAGGTCGTGCCTTGGGGACAGCTTGGCGGTTACACGCCGCGACTTGACCATTCTGTTCGGCCAGTGTTTGCCGTCTGCCTCGTTGCCCTCCTCAGACTGTCTACCAGGACGTGAGAGAGCTCCTGGACGATTGCATCAGGAGTAGGACCTCGCCGTCGAACGTCAGGATGCGACGGGCGTCACTGGTCAAAGGTCACAGCAGCGATCTCCGCGTACATGTAAGGGTTCAAGATGGCGCCCAGCGCCCATGTACGTCAACCCAATGGGGAACGTTGGCTGTGTCATCAACCAAAGGTAGGAAGCGCAAACGCTCCACCTCGCAGTGGGTATAATTGTATAATAGACCAGCTTAGCTGGGGCGGTGCCGTCTTCCTGCGAATTGCGCACGACAGGTAGTCGATCTTCTGCATATCCTCCTTGGTCCTGCCCTCCTGCATCACCCGCATTCGGAGCTGATCGTCCTGCTCGTAGCGGGTTGCGATTGAAGCAGATTGAAGCTTCGCTGCGCGGCCGGTGCGATCCTTTGCGTCCTTGATTGTTGCGGCCTCGGCACTCATCTGACCGCGCTTCTTGGTCCCCTGCAGCCGGGAGCACGTGGGCGAGGAACTCGTGTCTCTTGGTTGGAAGTCCGGCTGGATGCGGCAGCAGACGCGCGGTGCTGGCCTTGTTTGGAGAGGCGATCGTCAGCTTGAAGTATCATGAGAGCATGCGGGCAAGCCTCAGACAGGCCAAGTCGGTTGAAGACTGCTTGGATTCGCACAGCAAGCTCGGTGAGGCATGCAAGGAGGTCGATTTTCTGGAGAAAGAGAGGGAACCCTGGGTTCGGGGAACTCTATGTTCGGACACTGCGTTCGGGGAACTCTATATTCGAACCCTGGGTTCGGGGAACTCATGTTTGAACCCTGTGTTCGGGGAACTCTATATTCGCGTCCTGGGTTCGGGGAACTCTCTATTCGAACCCTGGGTTCGGGGAACTCTATGTTCGAACCCTGGGTTCCGGGCCCGGAACCCGGGGTTCGAACATAGAGTTCGAGCCCCAGGTTGAACCTGAGTTCGTGAACTCCGAACCCAAATTTCCTGAGTTCCGACGTTATTTTTGCCCCCCCCCCCCCCACCACCCCGGAGTTCAACCCAAAGTCCGGGAACATTCCAAAAACCTATGCTTAGGACTTAGGACGGTCCAGCCGAACCTGGGTTGAACTTCACAATCCAGGCTAATCCAGGGTCCGGCCTTGGGGGAACAACAACAACCCAGAACCCAGGTTCTGCATGGCGTTTCCAAGCATGTGCGCAAAATCCTTGCGTGAAACAATCTGACCCCAGCCAGGGAACTGGCTTGACGACATAGCCTGTGGGATTAAAAAATCGTTGCAATTCAGATCTCGCCCACGCGCAGTGGAGTAGTACCAAAAGCTTGCGCACGAGGAGGCTGTCAGGCAAGGTGCCTTTCCGATGAAGTGCGTGCTGTTGCTGGAGCCGATGTTGCAAATGATGTCCTGCGGTCCATCCTTCAAGCGCAGAACCTGGAGGCGGTTGAAACTTTGAAACTGTTCATCTGGGTTTTGCCCATGCCTGAGGTCTGCGGCAATGGCGGGTTTGTGCCAGGACCCATGCAGTCATCCAGAGTCAAACAGCGTTCCAAATGAACATTTCCGACAAGCATGTCAGCAACACCAAGGACACACTGCACAAACTGAATTTTCAGACGCTTCCGCTGCAGCTGCAGTTGCTGGTATTCAGCAAACTGGTGAAGCCATCTCAGGGGTCGGAAAAGGGGGAAAAGAGTTGGGCAAACAAAATCAGCAACAAATTCAGGGGGAGGGGAGGGGGGGGAGGTGAGAAATTGTGAAAGTCACGGGTGGCAGGGCGGAAGCCGGGCAAGGGGGTCGAAAACAAGCCGCCAAAAGCGGGATGCCAGAAGCCGGCGCACCCCTGCCTGCCAAGCATTCTTCCTTCCCTTTCTCCTTCTTCTCTTTCTCCATCTTTCGTCACTTCTCCATCTTCCCGCTGCTTTCCATCTCCCACCCTTCCTTCCTGTCCTTCGCTCGCGTGTTTTTTCATTGCTTACTTCCCGGCCCAACTTCTCTTGACTTGCTTTTTGGTCTACCCTGTCCTTTCTTCATCCAAGCGTTCCTTCTTCCTCTTCCACGTTCTTGGCTTTTTCTTCTTTTTCCACCTGTCCGCCGCTTTCCGGCCCCAAGCTCCCTCCTTCTCTTTCCTCCTTTTCCTTCTGCCCACTTCCTTCTTTTCTTTGTTCGTTATTTCCCCTTTTTTTGGGCCCCCCGCCCTCCCCCCCTCCGCCCGGGTCAGCCCCTCCATCCTCACCCGCTTCCCGACCGACTTTTCTCAGCCGACGCGGGCGATAGAATTATGAAGCTCGAGCTCGGCTCGACCAACACCGGCACACTGTCCAGGAGACGTGGGCTTCAACTTCATGATCTGGAACGGCACCCTGACCATGACCTGGCCACGGCGTTGGGACTCGTTCATTCACCCCTTCCATCGAGCCAGCTTTGCTCCGTGGCTGCCAAGGGTGTGCACACACGTAGATATCGGAGTCCCTGGCCCAATCAGCTCGGGGTGTCCTTGCTGATGTCGTTCGCCACGATCCTGGGCTTCAACATGTGTCAGATTCGGAAGGGATAATTGTGTGCGACGCTTGCGCAACGGAACGCAAGGCTGGCGGCCAAGAACTCCGCGGCGACTCCACTGGCTGCAAGTCCAGCTGTGGCGACGCACCGATAACGGTCTCACAGCAGGCCCCACCTTCTTACCTTCTTGGCGCTGGCCTTTGTTGAAGCCGGTTTGCCTTTGATTTGGCTGCAGCGGCCAGCTTCTTCATCTGAGCTGGCTTCTTCATCTGACTCTTCTTCATGGGCTGGCTTGCACCAGCAACCATTTTTGGTTCTTTGTCTTCGCCTTCCCAGCTCCACCGCTGAATGCCTCGGAGTGTCAAGATCAACCATGTCTGCTATGCACAATTCACTTGTAGTTTCATCAAAGCCCATGCAGCTCTTCGGCACGTCCATTGCGTAGCAAAGGTCCATGTGCGCAGCTCGAAGCACTAAGCGGTTGACACAAATATCGCCGCGGATGGCGGCAAGCCAACGTTAACAACCGTCTGTGCAAGACCAATGCACTCGCACTGACAGACTGGATCATTTTGCCTTCTGTGCTTCACCAAGGCTCAGCTTGGAAAACCATGCTAGGCCACCTGATACATGCAGGGGCCTGGCCAGGCTGAGTTGCTCTCCCTAGAATCTGATTTTTCCATCAGACGCTCAGCCTCTGTTCCAAATCTAGAACTGCTGCAGGGCCAGGGCCTGCATGCGGGCCAGCCGTGAAGTTAGTTGCATATTCCTGTCTCTATGCTTGCTACACTTGTAGGGTTGAGCGTGATATTTAAGGCTTACCTTTTAAGGTCGTAAGGTTCAGGGCTTTAGGGTTTTTCAAGTTTAAGGCCTATTATTCGTAAGAAATCAAACTGCTGATATATTGATACGTTATTTAACTTAGTCAGTGCCTGGAACTGATCAAGCACGTTCTGCGCGGTGCTGCTGCTGCCGCCACCTGCCGCTGGCACTGGGGCGGCTGCTCCACCGGCAGGCATTGAGCTTGACGATGGCGTTGCGTCTGCCAAGGTCTCAACCAACTTGCTCTCGTGCACCTTGCCATTGGGGGGGGGGCATCTCTTTCAGGACTCGGCACACGATGACCTTCTGCACTTTATTCAGGCAGGTCTCCGTCAAAAAGAAGCCAACATAGGGCAACCGTTCTACAGCTGCAATGCTGGCCAAGACACCATCTGCAACCTGGCAATCAATCCCAGCCGACAGGTTG